TGTTGTTGCTGCTGCTGCTACATTTTCGGGGCTTCGGCGACGACGACATGACCGTCACTTCCAGCGGCGACGGCGCGTGCGAGCAGCGCACGTGGCAGCAAAAGCGCGTGTCACCGTGGCCCAGACACGACGTGATCCTCGGCGACAACCAGCGGGCGTCACTCCGCTCCTCGGCTCGGTAATCTGCGTGTCGCGTCGACGACCGCGACGGCGTCCTCTGACTATTGCTGCGACTGACGCTGGCGACGGCTGCTGCTGCTGCTGCAGCAGACGACGAGTCGACTGCAAATGCCACGCTACGAGTGCGTCGTGAAGAAGAAGACGAAGAAGAAGTTGTTGTTGTTGTTGTTGTTGCTGCTGCTTGTGGTGGCGACGACGACGACGAAGAAGACGACGCCGCAGCAGCAGCAGAAGCAGCAGCAGCAGAGGCGTACATGAGCTCCTCTGCACTGCACGACGACGACGGCTCGCGCAGGCGGAAGCCCGGCGTCGCACTCGTCCGGATGTTGGGCGACGAGGAGAAGGCCAACGCGTGGTCGCAGTCCGACGACGACGACTCCTGCTTCGTGGCGCGGCGCCGCTTCATCGTCTCGGCCGCCATGGACGTGGCCGACACGCCGCCGCGAAGAGACTTTTCAAACGGATCCGGGATCCGCATCTTCACTTCACTCATGTCGTCTTCTTCTTCTTTTCTTCTTTTTCTGCCTCTGCTTCTTCTTTGTCTTCCTCCTCCTTCTGTTCGTCCACTCGAACGACGACGCCGATCATATTAATTCGCACTGATGCATGTTTGTCAAATCCGTCAATCCATCAATCAGTTGCATCGCGGCTGTCTTCCGTCTACATTATCCCGCGTTGCACATTCCATAATTTCTTCACTCAAGAGGATAGAGTAATCATCAAAAGTCCGTCATTCATTCAACCCTCCTTGTTTTCATATTCTTGCGCAATTTTCCCGATTTCCCCGTCGCAACAGAAATTTCCATCGTCAAACACTTCCGTTGCAAGAGACGAAATTTCACAACAAATTTTCCCGATTTGCGCAAAATTGCAGTCATTCATCGTTTCGCATTTTCCACACACGCCAGTAGCCCATGCGATAAGGCATTTGAATGAGTAAATCGGAGCTTTCCCACCACAGATAGAAAAGCTCGGCAAGAAATCTCATCTCTCATTATAGAATGTTTCAACAATCAATTCCGGGGTGAAAAAA